GTATGCAAACTAACCGCCATCTTTGTTGGGTTAATTTGCATAGTTGCTCTGATTGGCTGGTGGGCATAGTGGAGTGACACCAATTTGCATGTTTCTCTTTTATTAGTGTAGATATATAATCAGATCAGCCTCTCAGGACAAAACTTAGATGGAAACTTAGATGGAAACAATGTGTGCTTTTTTTGCATCTCCTTTTTACACACCAATTGCTGACCAACCCTTTCCAACAGACATTTTCTTTAGATCAATGGCTTCAGTCAGGCTACTGCAGTGGTTCTCAACCTTCTGGCCCTTTAAATACAGTTCCTCATGTTGTGACCCAATCATAAAGTTATTTTCGTTGCTACTTCATAACTGTAATGTTGCTACTGTTATGAATAGTAATGCAAATATCTGATATGCAGGATGGTCTTAGGCAACCCCTGTGACTCCTATAGACTGCATTTCCCAGGACTTCCTGAGTTAGCTGGCTCCTGCTGCCTGAGGGGATTCTCCTGGAAGATAAGAGATCAGAAGGTGGGAGAAGAGGAAAGCCCTGAGTATGTTTCCCTTCTCTCTCTGCCTTGGGCAGCATCTTCAATGGCTGCTGCATCTTCTCTGTGCCTCTGGCTCCTCCTGGGTAGGCCCATCACAATTCTATTTAAACCAATGGACCCCCATCTCTGGGCTCCATAACACAATCTCCCTTCTTTACTCTTCATTATGGACTCAATGTTTGTGTCCTCACCAAATTCATATGTTGAAGCCCTAACCCTTAATGTGACTTTGGAGAGAGGGCCTTTATGGAGGTAATTACAGTTCAATGAGGTCATTAGGATGGAGTCCTGATCCAATAGGATTAGTGCCCCTATCAGAAGAGACACCAGAGAGTTCACTTGCTCTCTCACTCATTTGCAAAGAAGAGGTCATGTGAGATGGCAGCCACTTCAGCCAAGAAAAGAGGCCTCAGAATGAAACCTACCTTTGTGGCACCTTGATATTGGACTTCCCAGCCTCCAGAACTGTGAGAAATAAATTTCTGTTGTTTGAGCCATCCAGTCTATGCTATTTTGTTAGGGCAGCCCGAACAGACTTAAGTTCTCTGCATTAAGATCCCTCTGTTTCAGATACTCAGGATGATTTCCCTTTTCCTGACAGGACCCTGAATGATTCACTGTGTCATTATTAGGGACATTACATGGACTAGGATATATCCATCTCCAGTCTCTAGCAATACAGTATGCTGCTTAAGAAATACACCTCCGCCCTAGCTGGTTTGGCTCGATGGATAGAGCGTCCGCCTGTGAACTGAAGTGTCTGAGGTTTGATCCCAGTCAAGGGGCACATGTCCAGGTTGTGGGTGTGCAGCAGGCAGCTGATCAATGATTCTCTCTCATCATTGACGTTTCTATCTCTCTTTCCCTCTCCCTTCCTCTCTGAAACCAATAAAAATAAAAATAAAAATTTTTAAATAAAGAAATACCCTATCAAATTAGGCTGACCTGAGTTTGAATCCTGACCTCACCCACGTCCTTGTTCCATCATTATAGTGTGACATTAGTCTCCCTAAGCCTCAGTTTCTGTAAAATGGGGATAAAAATCCTAAAGTCTCTTCTATAGAGAAAATAATGCTTGAGAGGTATTTAGCATAGGTATTTAGCACAGAGAAAGTACGTAGTATTAGCTAATATAATAGGTGGAAGGACAGGGCATGGTGAGAAGCTGGCATTGTCAGTTATAATTACCAAAGTGCTCTTATAAATTTACCCACAACAGTAAATGAATAGGTGTGGCTGTGTACCAATAAAACTTAATGGATACCGACATTTGAATTTTGTATAATTTTTCACTTGCCACAAAATATTATGCCTCTTTTGATTTTTTAAAAACCATTTACACATGTAAAAAAAAATTCTTAGCTCTCAGTCTGTGCAGAAACAGGCAACAGGCAGACTTTGGCCTGCAGGCCATACTTTTCTCAAGTTCCATTTACTCAAGTTCCTGTGCTCTTTTAGTTGTTGTTGCCTTCTTTCTTTCCTTCTATGCTGGGTGACACTGAATCAGTCACTTAGCCTCTCTGGGCCTCAGGGTTTTTCTTTAATTAAATAATTAATTTGGTTTTTCAGTTTTATGGAGATGTAATTGACACGCAACACTGTATAAGTTTAAGGTGTACTGTACAATGACCAGACATACATATGTTGTGAAATGATTACCATAGTAATTTCAGTTAACATCCACCTGGGCCTCGGTTCTTTATTGGTAATCCTGGAGTATCAGATGCGTGTTTTTGAAAACCAGTCCTTCAGTGAGGATGGGGCAGGAGAGCACCGCTGGTTTGTGTTGTTACTCTTTTTCATCTCTTTTATTTGTTTAGGCTTCCAGGTAAAATTTCTTTCAAACGAAAAGTCCCCCTCCTACAATTTAGTTTGGGAAATTACTCATTGGTCCAATGGTTCCAAATCTTTTTCCTGCCTCCTTAGCCTTTACCGGCACAAAATAAATCCATCAGTAACAGGCCAAAGGTGGAGCTGAAATGTCATAAAAGTGTCTTTCCTTCCCTGAGTACCACCTTATTAGACAAGCAATGCATTTGTTTATGTCTTGGGTTCTTTCTTCTAATTACACATTTCCGTTCACTTATTAAAGAAATGTTTGTTAAGCACCTCCTATGTGCAGAGCATGGTACCGGATGTTCTGTAGTGAACAAAACAGACAGGAGGAGCAGTGGAAAGTGCGTGTGCAGGGGCCAAGTGCTGTGGTGATGAACTATGTGGAATGCAGAGAAAGAGGGAGGGAGAGTTGGATCAAATCAAGCCCAGTTTCAGTGTTCCCAGAATTGTCCAACATTTAACTCCAAAGTTCCTGCTAGCCTGCCTCCCTGACTTCCTTCCCGTGTTTTCTCTAAACACGTCCTTTAGTTTCCGGGCCTAGCGCCTGTGCCAGCTCATCCTTTTCACCCCTGACCCTTCCCAGCACACAGGGGAGAGGGGACTGAGCTTGGATATCACAGCCTTCTCCCAGCATGTCCCCAGCCCACCCCCCTTCCCGCTCTCCCTTCTCAGAATTGCTCCCTGCCCCACCCCTAGCCTCCATCTGACCACTGCCCTTAGAGGATAGGCACTGTGGGAACCTGGCCACCTCAGGGCAATGTGCTGGCCTCCACAGTGTCCTCATCTCTGTTGGGAAAACCGTGTTCAGGCTGACCCCAGTCTGTTTCCGTGAACTTTTCTAAAGAGAAAAGTTGCTGCCAGCAATTGTCGGGAAATACACACAAATTATAAGAACACTCCCTCTGTGGGAAGTCAGCCTCAAATAACCAGAATTCCTGGCTTTCACTTTCTTTTCTTTTGTCTTGAAATATGGTAGCAATCATCTCAGGTAGAAACTATAGTTTAACTTTAACCCTGCTGTTTGGCTTCTGTAATTATTTGCTTTGTTTAACAATAGAAAAGTTATTTTGATTTTCTGAATTATATAAATCATCCCATTCGATTGAATACCTTATTGATTGTAATGTGAATACCCCATTGGTTGTGGTCATACTGGTTTTAGAAAGCACATTCTTCTGTACCTGGGAACCAGGACAGCACAGTTATCCCAAGGTCAGAGGGCTCCAGATAATGTGTCCCTGTCGACTCAGTGGTCCCAAGACCCGAGGGCTCTAGATAATGTGTTTCTGTCAACTCAGTGATCCGGAGACCCAAAACTATAATTTAGATAACATGCTTAAGTCTGCTTCTGTAAACTGCTTTTTGCAAACCAGGTTCCTCATTCCAAACCCTGGGATGTAATCAGTACCTTTGTGATCTTTGCCTATATAAATCTAGTGTTGGGGCTGGGGAGGGCACTGCGAGATTTGGGAGAGCGAAATGCCCCCTCGTAGTCCCGGATTTGCAATAAATGTGACTCCTTAATTCGACTTCTTGAGACGTCCTTGTGTGATTCGCGGGGTACATTGCAACAGTCTCAGTGGCAGGAAGGTTAGAATGACAATTAATTCTACCCTCTATTTTCTCAGTAACAACTTTTTTTCCCTAGGGCCACTCCTTCCTTCATTGTTATTTCTCTACCCACTTCTTTTCCACACTAATTCAAGAAAAGCCCTTCGGAGATTGCATTTTTACTTATTTTCTAAGGAATTTCTCAGCTACTCCCTGGAAGAGCTTTTACCTCTCAGCTTTTCTTTTTCTTTTTTTATTGCTTAAAGTATTACAAAAAGTATTACATATGTCTCCTTTCCCCCCCCCCCCCCCCCCCCCACCATATCCTC